ATCTCGAACCACAAATACGCTGCTCCCCTCAACCTGTATGAAGCCAAATCAACTCCCTCCGTCTCTGAAGCCTTCATTACTCGAAGGTTCTTGTATATTTCATCAAGGAAATCCTGCGGGTCGGCCTCTGGGTCTGTGCCTGAGAACTCTGGAGGGGCCAGCCGCAGAAACTGGTTGACTCTGGAACTGGCGGAATCTCCCTGTCCACTGGAGGATGTAGGGTCATCATGAGATCTCTCCCGGTTCTGGTTCCGCCCGAACCAGGTAGACCCCTGCTACTCTACCTTGCAGTATTGGATGGAGCGTTTGGTTGTGTTCTGGGGCAGCATGATGAAACGGGAAGAAAAGAGCAGGCCATTTATTATCTCAGCAAGAAGTTCACCCCGTACGAGGCCCGGTATTCCTTACTAGAGCGCACCTGTTGTGCTCTGACTTGGGTAGCTCAGAAGTTGAGACATTATTTCCGTGCTTACACTACGTATCTCATATCAAGAATGGACCCATTGAAGTATATCTTTCAGAAGCCCATGCCCACTGGCAAGCTAGCCAAGTGGCAGATCCTGCTGAGTGAATTTGACATTGTCTACGTGACTTAGAAAGCAATCAAAGGACAGGCACTAGCGGATCACCTCGCTGAAAACCCTGTGGATGGAGAATACGAGCCTCTGAAGACGTATTTTCCTGATGAGGAGGTATCCTTCGTAGGAGAGTACATTGCAGAATCCTATGACGGTTGGAGGATGTTTTTCGACGGAGCAGCAAATTTCAAGGGAGTTGGCATAGGAGCAGTCCTAGTATCAGAAACTGGCCAGCATTATCTGGTATCCGCCAAGCTCAGGTTCCCATGCACCAACAATATGGCCGAGTACGAAGCTTGCATCTTGGGGCTCAAGATGGCCATTGACATGAACGTCCAAGAGTTGCTAGTGATTGGAGATTCGGATTTGCTTATACATCATGTCCGAGAAGAATGGGCGACCAAGAACTCCAAGATACTCCCGTATTTGCATCATGTACAGGAGCTGAGGAAAAGGTTCATAAAGACAGAGTTCCGGCATGTTCCTAGAGTCCATAATGAGTTTGCCGATGCATTGGACACTCTATCATCCATGATTCAGCATCCAGATAAGAACTTCATAGACCCTATTCCAGTAAAGATTCATGATCAGCCAGCTTACTGTGCTCATGTCGAGGGAGAAGCAGACAGAAAGCCCTGGTTTTACGACATCAAAGAATTTTTGGCCGAAGGAAAATATCCAGAGCTTGCAATTGCTATTTAGAAGCGCACTCTGCGAAGATTCTCCAACAATTTCTTCCACATCAGAGGAATCCTGTATAGGAGAACTCCTGATTTGGGATTGCTAAGGTGTGTTGACGCAAAGGAAGCATCCAAACTGCTAGAAGAAATTTATGCTGGGACCTGTGGCCCACATATGAACGGTTTTGTCTTAGCCAAGAAGATACTCCGGGTAGGTTATTTTTGGATGACTATGGAAACGGACTGCATCCAGTATGTTCGAAAGTGCCACCGCTGTCAGATCCATGCAGACATGATAAAAGTGCCTCCAAATGAGCTTAATGCAACAAGCTCGCCATGGCCGTTTGCCGCACGGGGAATGGATGTTATCGGACCAATCGAACCTGCCGCATCAAATGGGCACAGGTTTATCCTAGTAGCAATTGATTATTTCACTAAATGGGTTGAAGCAGCATCTTACAGAGCAGTGACCAAGAAAGTCGTGGCAGACTTTGTCCGTGAATGTATCGTTTATCGATTCGGGATCCCAGAATCAGTCATTACTGACAATGGTTCCAACCTCAACAGTGATTTGATGAAAGCCATGTGCAAAACTTTCAAGATCAAACACAAGAATTCCATAGCCTACAGGCCTCAGATGAACGGAGCTGTAGAAGCCGCCAATAAGAACATCAAGAAGATATTGAGAAAGATGGTAGAAAAGCATAAGCAGTGGCATGCGAAGTTGTCATTTGCTTTGTTAGGGTATCACACCACAGTCCGCGCATCGACTGGTGCAACTCCCTATATGCTGGTTTATGGTACGGAAGCGGTCATCCCCGCCGAGGTAGAAATTCCATCCCTAAGAATCATACAGGAAGTTGAAATCGACGATGCAGAATGGGTAAAGAGTCGTTACGAACAATTAGCTCTCATAGATGGAAAGAGAATGAACGCGATTTGCCATGGTCAACTTTACCAAAACAGAATGACCAGAGCCTTCAACAAGAGAGTCAGACCAAGACGGTTTACACCAGGGCAGCTGGTGTTGAAGAAGATTTTTCCATATCAAGATGAAGCCAGAGGGAAGTTCTCCCCTAACTGGCAAGGTCCATACATGGTTCATCGGGTTCTGACAGGAGGAGCCCTCATACTTGCAGAAATGGACGGAGAAGTTTGGCCAAAGCCAATAAATTCAGATGCAGTCAAGCGATACTATGTATAACCATTTATTATTTCCTTATGTAATTTGAACTACGTTTGACCTGATTCATGTTTAAGAGGGGATACGTAGACA